TGTATTGGAATTAAAACAAGGAGATTAATTTGCTTTGCTTTGATACTTAGACAATCCATTCTTCAAGTGCCTGAGCACTGCGGGTCCTAAATTTTTCGTTCGCATTGATCTATAGACATTTGTTAAGACTCCTTGTATGAGGGATCGGCCCGTCGCAATGCCTCTACCTATACTCAGATCAGCACAACACAGATAAACACATACAAACACCAATGGTTTAGAGGGATTCCAACCCTTGGTCCCAATGGCAAAGATCCACGCGTAAGACCACGCGGCCACTGCGACGGCTTCCAGACTAATTTACTGTTTCTGGCTACAGGTGGACTTATTCCACTGCAGAAGAACTGGGTGGTTCCAGTCATTGGGGAAGATGGTCAACGTATGGTGGCGGAGGGTATTATGAAGATCTGTCACTCAACCGTAGCAAAGCCATTGAGAAATTGCAAAACTTGAAGAATAATGATTGGATTACAGGAAGAACAAGTGCCATTTTCCTTGACTTAATTGTCTATAATGCAAATGTCGATGCAATCTTCACTGTGAAGTAAGTTCTCACTTTCAAATTGTCACAGATATTTATATTCTCTATATAAAGTACTTTGCCATCAGGAGAGTCCAGGAGAATCACACGGGGCTGGAAATGAATGGTCTGAAATCAGGTGTTGTCTGCATCATTTTACTTAGCATATGCTCTCAATAGAAGTGATTTAGGTTCAGCTTAACATTGGGAACCCTGAGGGGAAGAGACCTCTGGGGAGACCTAGATGTAGATGGGAGGATAATGTCAGGCTGGATCCATGGGAAATAGAAGTTGAAGGAGGATGGATTTTGTTGGCCAATGACAGGGTCCGGTTGAGGGATTTGGATAATTCGGTGATGAACCTTCGGGTTCGGTCAGCCATCAAGTTAGTTAATTTATATGGCCCAATTCACAAAATGCTTCTTGACTGGTATATTGTTGTCCCATTGCTACACATGTGTGGCACTTACACTGCATATTTCAATGAGGAAATTTATTTTGGGCAGTAGCACTTAACAATAACAATAAAAATAAGAATAATCCGTGGCATAACAGCTCCAGAGAGCCAGAGCCGACTAGCTTGACTGCTGGCCTCACGTTCACATGCCTAAGCAGAGGTGAACGATCATCCAAACAGATACAGGCTGATGTGTGGTCAGCACGACGAACCCCCAGCCATTGCTAGTTTTCCTGACCGGATTACGCTACTTATTGTAGCTCCCCAATTTTCTCACGATGCTGGGTTGGCACCGGTCCTATACACTGGTCAAAAATCTCATAAGAAATTTCTTTCCCCGAGACTCAAAGAAGGGTGCATTCCGTATCACCGGTCCGAAGCATGATGCCTCAGACCGCGCGGCTACGGCGCGGGACGTAGCATTTATCAGGGTATGCAAACTTTATTCCATTGTGGACACAATTCTGCTATAAGCCAAGTTAAATGACACAGACAATGCAAGTGGTAATTATGTTAATTTGGGTGAGAAAATACCAAGAAAAATCACACATAGGCTGTTTATAGGCTAACAAAAGAACTAGTGCACAAGTCAATATAAATACAAATAAAATTGATGCATGAAAAATGTGCAACACTGTCACAATTAAGTTCAATATCTTTACTATTAACAATTTTATGCATCCTTTCGATAAACTGCATAACATGACGGTCATGCATATCCACGTATTAACATCAGAAATCTGGCAAATTATATTTGAGATTTGTATCACATGATGTAACTTCTGTTTTTCATAATGATCATGTCAAATTCTATATCGCATTTCCAAAAATGGCTCACGGAACAAAAATAATGATACAGAACATAAAATACAGATTTATTCTGATCTACAATTTTAATTTGAAACATTTTTCCGTACAGTAAATATTTTTTTTAAATACAAGTTAAAACAAATTATGATTATATAATGTGACATCTGTGGTGTGGAATTTCCTGCAATACGAGTAGATCTCCAATGAATGAACATCTAGAACAGTGAG